GAAGTTTCCCTTTACTAAGGGATCAAGAATCAGAATGGCTTCTGCCTTCACACCAGCAGTACCTTCAAATTCAGAAGGAAGATGATTTCCAATAAGTTCCTAGAATTTCATACCCCACTATGTTAATGTTATGTGTCAACTTGACTGGGCCATGGGGTGCCCAGTTGTTCAGTCAAATATTATTCTGGGTGTGTCTGTAAGGGTTTCTGAATGAGATTAATATTTGAATCTGTAGACCTAGTAAAGCAGATTGTCTTCCTAATGTAGGCAGGCCTCATCCAATCAGTTCAAGCCTGAAAAGAACAAAGGCTGAGTTAGAGAGAACTCCTCCTGCCTGAGTGCCTTCAAGCTGGGACATTGGGTTTTTTTCTGTACTTGCTGTATCTTGACCTTACACTGAGAAAATTCCCTCTTCTCTCTTCATGCCTTGCTGCTTGGGTTGGCTGAGGACACTCATTTCACCCCACGTAAATATTCTGCTTTGGCCTCTTCCTAAGAGTGGGAAGTGAGCCACAGTGAGAGCTTAGAAGCAGAAAACATAAAGCAACCCATTGTCTCTGATGGTATTTCTGCCAGATGTCTGGTACCTGGCCACAATACAGCCCTGCCTGACCGACCAGAAGAGGCTATTAAAACCATCAGCTTATACTCTCAGATGAGTTTTCCCCCAAATAGTGGCAACTTTTCCCTTTCTTTAAAAAGCTAGTTTGTAATTGTTATTCAGTTTTTCAAAGTGGAACAATGCATGGGACACTGATACATTTATAGGAGGTGAAACTATGAAGGAAATCAACAGAATATATTTTTGTTTTCTATTGCTGTGTTACAAACTACTACAAAATTAGCAGGTTAAAACAACGCCCAATTATTACCTAACAGTTCTGTAAGTGAGAAGTCTGGGTGGGCTTGGCTGGGCTCTGAGAAAAAATCCACTTCTAAGCTCATTCAGGTTGTTGGAGGAATTCAGTTCCTTGGGGTTGTTGGACTGTGGTCCCTATCTCCTTCTGGCTGTTGGCAGGGGTCATTCTAGGCTTCTTGTGCCAGTTCTCTGGTGCTTGCTTGTGGCCCCTTCCATCCATGGAATCCCTCCATGCTTCAAATCTGACTTCTCCTTTTGCTACTTAAGCCTGAGAAAACTCTGCTGATAAAGGGCTAATCTGATTGGGTCAGGCCCACCTGGATAATCTTCTAATCTTGAGGTCAACTGATCGTAGACTTGAACTACATTGACAAAATCCCTTCACAGCAGCACCTAGGTCAGTGTTTGACAGAATCACCACAGGACGGGAATCAGGGAGTGAGATGGGGATCATTAAGATTCTGCCTAGATGAAAGGGATTTCCATGAACGTCAGAATAGTGGTCACCTCTGGAAGAAAGGGAAGAAGGGACTATAATTGGGGAGAGAAATAAGAGGTGCATCTAAGGTACTGGAACATTCTAATTCTTAACCTTGGGGGGGTACATCATCTGTATTTTATTATTTTCCTTAAATATTGCACATATACTTTTTACACTCTTCTGCACATATATTTCACAGAAAGAAAAAACAGATGCAAGGCATACTGATTTATGACCAAAAATGTGGCATATATTTGATTCTAAGATTTGTAGAAGCCAATGCACAAGGCAAGCGTGTTTCATTCATGGAAGAAGTGGGAGGAATCACCCAAGTCTTTTATTTGTTCCTGACACTGGGCAAGCTCCTCTCGTACACCAAAGATATCTGTGGAACGAGAGCACGACACATGTGCCAACCACCATCCCCAGCATTAGTCTTAAATGAGAAGAGGAAAACTAGAATGTGGTTAAGAAATCATAGTGTGTCAGAAAACAGTGGTCCAGGTTTAAGATGCCTCTGGCTGCTGCCTGGGCAGTCACAGCTCTCAGTCTGGATCTTGGAAGTGGAGGTTACCAGATCCCAATGGTAAACCAGCCATGCTCTCACAGAAGT